TGGGAAACGGAAGCGAGAGGAAGGCTGCAGCGTCGAGAAAAGACAAACTGTAAAAGGGCCGAAAAGGTTCATCCCTAAGGTAGCGGCAAGTGGTCTTCCTAGCTCAAGAAAAGTCGCCCCGTCAGAGCCTTTGCAGCAGCAGCCTATAGCTTCCGGCAGCAGCGAGCGAGCAGCACCAAGAGCTTTATCTCCTCGCAGTAAGTATTGCCGTTTTTTTTGTGTTGCTCTTTTTGTTTCTTGCTCTTTACGTACACATAAGTATACCCTTTTATCTCATTTTACAGGTACTTCCCAAGGTAAGGGTAAGGGTAAGGGGTTTTCCGTGACCCCGAAACGTCGAAGCATGCGTATTCTTGAAACGCGGTTTGCTAATACCCGTAAGAATAAAGGTGAAGACCCGGGACCCAAGGTAGTGGTGACGGTTGATGATAGTAGTGATGATGATAGCGATGACAGTGGTGCTGCGGGAACTGAGACTAACATTCATGAGCAAGAGAGCGCTCGCGATACGAGTGGCATGGATGAGGACCTTGATGAAGGCCAATACGATAGTCATGACGAAGACACCTATCTGGCCTTCGGCACTAGCTTGGGGGAGCTCGATGGCTCAGATACGACTCCCGCCTCAGCTAGCAATCATGGACAGCGTGTCGACCTTGAACTGGTATCGAATACCCTTCTTGCTTGTTCTACTTAGAATATTAACACTGCATACTGCCCGTTGTGTCCCATAGTTCATAGTTTGCCTTTCTCCTGCAGGTCGTGCCCACCATTGAAGGCACGATAGGTGCTTCATCGGAGGCTGATTTTGCCCTTCCCACTGCTGTCGCTGAAGTTGTTCTGAGCCTTCCGGCAGTGCAATCTCCTCCTTCTCCTAACCCATGTACTCCTGACATGGCTGCTGACGCCTCTCCACCACTTCCAACAGTTCCTCCTCCTATTTCTCCAATTCCGAGCGCACCCGACATAGCTTCCGGCACCGCTCCACTTCTTCCAGCAGCACCTCCTTTTGCCGAGATTATTGACAATAGCCATAAGAATGGTGATGCTCTTATCGCAGGTTCCTCAAAAGGGCATTCATTCGAGAAAGGCATGTCTTGGCGAGATTGGGAAAGCTCCTACACGGCATTCAAAGCCTTTTTTGATGGTGGTGTCACCATTCTCAGATCCATTGATGAACTTCTTCCGCTTTGCCACAGATTCGATGGTTATGTGGCGTTTCACGGTGCCCTCGTGTACCCAGAGACGATTGAAGCTTTGAAAAGGTTTATGGATAAATACGGAAGTTTGATGGAAGCTACAGATGTCACCTCCTCTTTCTCTAGGTGGACTGCCCTTCGAGCCCTCAGCTTAGTACTTCACGGGATGGACACCATGCAACTCCTTGACATTACAGATCACAAACTACTTTGCTGGCGAGACGCGATATGTGAGGCCGTAATTCTGGGTTTTCGTGTGGAATTTCTTCTCAAACTTGTGAAGAACTTAGCACGCGCGGTCTTTGGAGCACGGGCCATTCGGGGTATACAATTATCGCATGACTCTGATGAAGTGAGGGCTGCTGCGGACGCTTTGAATATTAAACAACAGGAGTTGGAGAATCAGCGCCGGGAGATGCATGCCCTTCTTCTTGCTAAGGGTATTTCTGTTGACAGCGCTGAGTGCGTGACGAAGGCAGCGGCCAGATTATCTCCTGGGGCTTCCTTTGTTCTTTTTGGACATTCCCCATAGCCTACAGGTACTCAGCTCATGCATTATATATTTTTTATTACGTATTCCAGCAGCAGCCATTTTTTGACACACATTTTCTTTTATCTTTTGCAGATTGCCCATCCTTAGCTTGGAGACCGCTTAGCTTGGCACATGATCCTGCTTTTCTTTGTGACTCAAGGGCGTGTGAACCTTCAGCATATGCAGTTTTATTTTGCTTTGCTTGTAGTGTTGTTTTTTTTTTTTGGAGACTCTAACGACTACGTCGTTATGCCTTTGTAATTTTGATATTAAACTACTGAAGCTTGTATGAATTTCCGAATGCTTGAGGCATGTTGTATATTTCCTGTGTAGATATGTATATGTACTGCTTTGTTGGCCAGAATTGCCTTTATGGACTGAAAGAAATTTTTTTGTTTAGAAGTAAAATCTTCGAAAGCTTCTTTTGCATGGCTTATGCCATTATTATTATTATTATTATTATTTTTGCTTAAGCGTGATGCTTGGGGACCCTATCTAAGTGACTTTGCCCGGCATGTTTTACTGCTAAGTAGCATGTTTATATATACATATATAGATATGGAAAATTTGATAAAGGGCTAATAATAGTAAAGTTTTGGAGACACAATATATATTTTTTTCAAAATATTCCTTCATCTTCATTGCAAAAGCCCCTTGCTACCATAATGGTGCATCATACAAAAGTGTCTTTTTTTTCAAAACGTGAAAATAAGACAGAAGGAGTCTATTTTTTTTTTGATAGAGAGAAAATACAAAAGTACTAGGCATAAAGTTAACTTAGCAGTAATAGAGCTTGAGCCACTTCCCATTGACGGGGTCGGTCAGCGTGCCTTCCTTGACAGAGACCAAGCGATAATAGCCGCTGCTGTGAACCTCCTTGACTGCAAACGGGCCTTCCCATTGCGGCGCAAACTTGGAAGGTCCCGACACCTGTCTTCTCACATG